TCAGCGGGGTGCGGGAGCACCGACAAAGGGATGGCGGGAAGGAAGAAAAGGAGCAGGAGGCAGAATGGATGCGAACGGTGGGCAGGGTGTAGAGGAGCGAGAGACGGAGCAAAGGCGACGAGCAGCGAGAGCAGGAGCAGCAGCCAGAGGGGTAAAGGGGAGAAGAGGGTTGGGAACTGTACTGACGTTGTTCTTGGCTTCAACATAAACACCGTGCTTCAACAGCATCTCCACCACCTTGTCATGACCGTAAGTGCAGGCATAGTGCAGTGGTGTCTGGCTATCCTGTGGGATGATGCATCAGTATGACGTACAGGTACAGCAGCAGCATCATCATCATCATCATCATGTGGTACAGGTGTAGTATCATAGGGGGGTAAAGGGGGAAAGAAAGAGGCACTGTACTGACGTTGTCCTTGGCTTCAACATAAACACCGTGCTTCAACAGAATCTCCACCACCTTGACATGACCGTAATAGCAGGCCCTGTGCAGTGGTGTACCGCCATACTGTGGGATGATGCATCAGCATGACGTACAGGTACAGCATCACCATCACCATCATCACCATTATATGGTACAGGTGCACCATCATAGGGGGAAGAAGGCGAGAAGAGGGAGGTAGAGGTACTAACGCCGGTCTTGGCTTTAGCATCAGCACCGTGCTTCAACAGCATCTCCACCACCTTGACCTGACCGTTCAAGCAGGCATAGTGCAGTGGTGTATTGCCATACTGTGGGATGATGCATCAGCATGACGTACAGGTACAGCATCAGCATCATCATCATCATGAGGTACAGGTGCAGCATCATAGGGGGGTAAAGGGGGGAAGAGGGAGGTATTGTACTGACATCGTTCTTGGCTTCAGCATCAGCACCGTGCTTCAACAGCATCTCCAGCACCTTGTCATGACCGTAACGGCAGGCCTCGTGCAGTGGTGTATAGCCATGCTGTGGGAGGATGCAAACATGCAGTATATGTTATACCATAACGTCACCCCATCCAGTGACATATTTAAAGTGTATCCAATAGCACACAATATAATAACAAACAGCATACGTACCTTATCTTTGTATTGGGCAGCATCTTGAATACGTTGTTGGTCCCAACTGGTCGACAGCTGCAACGCCTCTTGTGGATCTGATGAATCACACGCCCTGTACAGCTGCTTTCCATCATCACTCATGGTAACGGTATCTCTCTCTATTCACCATCCGCTTCAAACCGCTTTGCTTGCTTCTCTAGCCACCACCAATTTTATGAGCCCCCTCCAAGTACAACTCGTCTGACAACCTAGAATTTGACAGGCGCGCGCCGTTTCCAAAACGGCAGCCGGTCAGCGGGCCCTTTGCTCTTCTCTGCCTGGTGCACCAAACGACTCACCTTTGGTTAACAGTTCTCGATGACAGTTGCGAGGACAGGTGTACTTGGTTGCCCAAGCGCACGTTGTCGACTGCGAGGTGAGATCAGTGGCCTCACAGAACGCAAAAAAATCAGGCAGCAGTGCTTTCAATCAAAACGTTCTGGCGTCGCCGCAAGACCCTGATCAGGTAAGTCCCAAACCAAGCACAAACGATCAGTCACCACGCACACACAAAGCAAGACACGTCAAGCAGCCCGCCGATGCCGATATCGAGACCGAGACCGCTGCCAAAGAAGAAGAAGAAGAAAAAGAAGAAGTCAAAGGCAAAGGGCAAAAAGCCAAAGAGGGAACGAAAATGCGAACAAACACACGTCTTCTTCTTTTTTAATTCTTTACTTTCGAGAAAAAGTTAATTCCAAAGCGCCCGTTAAGCTTGTTCGGATGGCGATTTCTTTGCGAGCATTGTCTCAAAGGCTCGCTGTGTAGGTCACAATCAGCTCATTGCCGTCAATGTCACAAGACCTTACGTGACCACACTTTGTGCAAAGCGAAGCCGACCAGAAAAAAAACCCCCAACTTACAGTTACATGTAGTAAAGAACAAACTCACACCACAACCCGCCTATTTTTTTCGCGGCGACCCGCAGCTCGGCACGCAGCGATCAAGCCCCGAGTTTTCTCTGCCACAGGGGAAGCTGGAAAAAAGGGGGTGTGGACATCCAGCTGCTCATCCAGGAGCCAGCTTTGTGTGTTTTTGATATGGGACTGGCAGCCCTTGCCTATCAGACCCCAAAGCACCGAGACATACTGCTGATAAATTCGAACACAAGCGCACGCCGCTTCCCGAACAAACGCACAAAGAGAAAACTAAACCACGCTTGACGGTTGTATCTCGCTCTAGCAAGGGACCGGGATTTTACGCCAAGCCGCCCGTGGCGGCGGCTTGTTGAAGGCGAGCCATGAGTTGGCCGAGTCTGACGCAGGGCGCGACTAGAGTGTCGTTGACGAACCAGCCCTGATCGTCCGGGCTCCATCAAAGCAGATGGTGGCGAGGGCGCCCGGCATGTGCTACGGTCATGGCAAGGGAGCCGCCCGGCCGTCGTTGTAGCAAGAAGGCATGTACATACAGGGCGTACCTCTTGCGCCAGCGGAGACTTGGCTTCCTACCGACCCATGTCGCCGTGCACGACAACGTGAAGGCTCGCGGTGGAATCTGGGCCGAGCGTGTCGTGAGTTGCAGAGGCGGGACCGCCGCAGGGCATGGCTTCATAGTTGCCAATGTCAGGTCCGGGCAGGATGAGCGTGACTTGGCTGTAGCCTGAAGGGCGAGGCTTTGAGCATGTAGGTCCGACATCTCTGGCCACACCATAGCCGTTGTGCAGGACGTTGGGATTTGGGTCAGGCCCGTGCTGCTGGTCGTACAGTGGGTTTTGGCCTTGGTATTCATCGGGTACGTCTGGGGTAAAAGAGGGGTTGGTCCGAAGCTCAGCGCGCGGTCGTTGATGGGCAATGAGCATGACGGCCAGTAGCATCCCGAGCAGCAGGATACCTGTCACCAGACCAGCAATCAAAACAAGGTCCGCTTTTTTAGAGGAGGCCATGGACAATGGAGCGGTCGGGGGGCCAGCAAAGCGCCGGGGTGTGGATGTGGCCAGCAACGTGCTGGTTGTTGATACGGTATTGTCTTATCGTGGATTGAACCAGCTGCGGTTGGCAAGCATCCACAGTGACCAGAACAGAACAGGTGCACCATTGAGATGGCTGTAGAGACGCTCAGGGAAAGTGCAATCCGTGCCAGTCGGAGGTGTCACTACAAGCAAACAAGTCTGTCTGCCAAGACATTGCCAAGGGCACGAAGCTCGCGCGGGCAACGCATGCCCCTCCCTCCCCCCCCGCCCGCAAAAAAAAAACGCAAAAAAAAAAAAAAAAACGGGGGGCAACTCAGTACGTCAAGGTGTGTATGTTAGTCAGGGGATAAAGACTGTCGTAGTCCAGTAAATCAAAAATGCTCAAGCGGCATGTCCAACCATTTGGTAACGGCTGAGGCTCATTGTATCCAACACAGAGTGGTGTATACGTGTCTCTGGCGCTGCTTTGGTGACTATAGAATCTGCGGTCCTTCAGACGCAAGTGCCTCAGTGAAGCGACCCCTCAGCCCAAGCTTGGCACGACATACAAACATGCAGTCTCTGCTTGCTGTGATAGTTGTGGTTGAGAACAAATGCCAAGCCATCTCGGTGGCAGGAGCAATTACAACGTTCGACTGGAGGAACTACCCATGACGCTTTGCACACTTTCACAATTGATTGTCATTCGATTCTCGCGGAGTTTTAGGATATGATCTGTCTGTGGTTAATTCACAAAGCAAACAGAGGAAATGGTCTACCAGGACCAAACTTATATCTCAAAGGCAGGAACAATCACAATGTTCGACAGGCTTCCTTGTCGAGCGCCTTATGCTGCAATGATTGATCACAATCTTATCTTCCATTGTGATCCAGCAGCCACTGGACATACGTCTATGCTAGTCCAATCTGTTAGTGCCCCATAGTGTCCGTCACAAGGGGCGTGAAAGTACCGCTTGATTCTCGGCTTGCAAGTTACCGAGGATAGACTTCAGGTCATCAAGCGCGTTCATTTCAAATAGTGTAGGCTCCACGCGCCAGCCGACACCGAAGAGAACCGCACTTGAAGCCCTGCAGTGCCTTCGTTGCTCAGCTATTATCAAACTTTGAACTAACATTGGATGTTAGAAATGCAAAGTCAAAGCGTGCAAACGGAGCACAGCCGAGTCCAAGTCATCTTACATTTTGATACTGAGCTCTGATACGCCCTTGGCAAACGGCTGGCACGAAGCATCCTGCGGATCAGCTGATGTGATGCACACAGACGCTTTGAGTCACACCGCTGCGGCACTACGGCGCGACTTGTTAGCGTGCTTCTTACATCCAGATCGACTCGGCGTTTCTTGAGAATTCTGTCAAGTGGAGTCTTTCCGTCCTGCAGCATGCAGCATCAGTGGGTGCATCAGCCACCACATTCATGCGTAAAAGATCAAACAAAGACCTCTTTTGCACATATACTAGCAAGGCACATAGCCAACGAACAAGATGCGACAAGCTTGGTGCAAACACACACAAAAAAAACAGAGTCAGTTGTCTCAGATCTAACCGAACTCAGCACATCAACATCCGCGCCGTGTTTTAGAAGCGCGGCTACGATGTTCTCATTGGTATAATGACAAGCCACGTGAAGAGCTGTTGAGTCGTTCTGTCAAGCCAACACGCAAGGCAAAGCAACGACGCCTCTTGAGCGGGGCAGTCAAACCAAGGCAGTGCTTGCATTAACAACATGAAGCACATTCGTGTGGCGAAACAAAGAGGCGTATTCAAATGGCAAGTGCACAGCAGCAGGAGCTAGGAAAAGACAATATACTAGTGATGTTTAAAACGTTGAACACCATGGAAGGAAGAGCAGAGGATACTGACGACACATTTCGCTTCAATATCAGCGCCGTGTTTCAACAACATCTCCACCACCTCCACATGGCCTCCACAGCAGGCAAAGAACAGCGGTGTACTGTTGCCCTGTGTTTGAACCACCGTCGCCACCACCACACACGTAGTTGCATCAGCATGCCCAGCAATACCATGATGAGACGAATTCCAGAACAGTTTATGCACAAGTACCTCATGCAAACTGGTGTGAAATAAAAGAGCCATCCACATCATTTAAAAAGAGAGACAGAGAGAGCAGGGAGAAAGAGGTAGGAACGAACCTCGTTCTTGGCTTCAGTATCAGCTTTACTTTCCAATAGAATCTGTACCACTTCCTTGTGGCCGAAAAAGGAGGCCCAATGCAGTGGTGTTGTGCCAAACTGGGGGTTGATTTGAGTCACCATTACCGTCATGGCCGCCGCAAGCGTAATTGCAGCATTCCGTGTGCCGCGGTGAGATGTCCAAAAAAGTTGGTATTCACGTATCACACGTGGAACGGGAGGAAATTGGAAGCGGTGGACTTCGACTGACAAAAACCAGCTGCAAACGGTGTTCTGACCTTGCCCTTGGCGTTGACGTTTGCACGGTGTTCTAATAGCGCCTTGACCATTCTTTTATAACCCTTTTGGCTGGCATTGTAAAGTGGCGTGCTGCCTTGCTGTGGTTTGATTCAACACCACCACCACGATCACAGGTGTGATTGCACACAAACCATGCGCATTGAAATCATAAAAAGAACACGATAAAGATTTAAGTCGGTCCGACTTCTTCTCTGGCAAACCTCAAAGGTAAAAGAAGAGGAAGAGAAGCCAATCAGACCAAAAAAAGGAGGAAGGAGTTGTACTGACTTTGCACGTGGCTTCAGAATTAGCACCATGTTGCAATAGCATGCGTGCCGCCTCAGCATATCCAAGCTGGGAGGTAATGTGAAGCGGTGTTTCGCCAGACTGTAGGTTGATGCAGCACCGGCATGACCGTCACACGCGGTTGCGCCATTCCCATGACCCACAGTCGTGAGATCTATTTGTACATCAGTTGATCCACACGCAAAGACACGTGCAGAGCAGAATACAGACCAAAAGAAGCAAGCGGAAAAGAAAAGAAAAAAGCAGAGGAACCGGATAAACAGGGTTGGACTGACTTGGTTCCTGGCTTTATGGCTAGCGCCATGCTTGAGAAGTAGCTTAATCATTGTCACTTCCCCATGTCTGCAGGCGAGGTGCAGCAGCGTATTGCCAGACTACGATAGGTTTACCATTATGGTGAGGTCACAGCAGCTTTTTTCAACAGGAAATGTCCAGTTTCACATGTAGACCTCAAGGAAGCA